GCGGCCCTGGGGGTCCCAGGGGAGCTGTCACCACCGCGGAGGTTCTGGGGGGGGGGGGTCACCCCCCTCAGGGTCCTGTCACCCCCCCGGCGTGGCTGTCACTGTCCTGGGGGCCCCCAGGGTGCTGTCACCCCCCCATGGGGGACCCTGGCAGCGCCGGGGGTCCCGGGGCCCTGTCACCCCTTCGGGGGGGTGTCTGTCACTGCCATGAGGGCTCTGCGATGCCTCCGAGGGACCCGTCACCCCCCAGGCCACCCCGGGCTGATGTCCTCGCCCTGACAGCGGCCCCTGTGTCCCCGCGAACCTGTCCCGTCCCCCGCAATGTCCCTGCATCCCCGCGGATGCCTTTGGGAGCGGGGAAAGGCCAAGGCACCATCCCCACAGCCAGGCTGGCCATTCCCCCCTTCCAAAGGCTCCCTGCTCCAGGATCCCGGTGCGCCAGCATTCCCTGGAAAACCCACGTGTGCAGGAGCAGCGGTACCCTCCAGAGGGTGCCCTTTTGTTGTCAACATTTGCAGATTTGACGATTTTCCCTCTTCCCCCCCCCAACCATTTTCCTTCCTATCTGCATCCCGGACACATGGTCGGCATCAGCGAGGGCTCTTCCCAAAGGCACCGGCACAGCCGTGGCCGAGCGCTGCCGCTCCGTGTAATCCGCAAAGCCGGCACGCATCTGGAGAGGCGCGAGGGGGCCGAGGGCGCTCCAGTTGTCGCTGGGAATCTGGGAATTCTTCATGGCACGGCCGGTGCCAGCGAGCGCGGGTGAGCCGCTTTGATTTCCCATGCCTCGCTTTCCACGTCCGCGCAAGGCGAGCAGGGAATGTGTGCATGGGAATAAACACGCTTAGAGAGCCATGAAAATGCCCTTTCAAGTTAGCCGGATGAAAACTTCATGTTCTGCACTTCTGCGCTTCAAGGAGAGGGATCTGTTTTCAGAGAAGCTCTGTATTTTTCTTATTTAAACCTTCTAAATCTGCTGGAGCATTAAAAGAAAAAAAGAATATTTGGCATTTCCACAGCACATTTCATTCCCAGCTCCAAATGCATTTTACAGACGTTCATTAATTAAGCCTCATAAAACCTTTGGGAGAGAGGAAAGCCGTCCTTATTAATTTGGTTTTTGTATTGCCACAGCATACGGAGACCCCAGCCAAGACCTTGGGGCCGTGTTATTCCAGACACCTACGCGGTGCTGGAGATGTCAGCACATCCAAGCACCAAGTTATCAGGTCAGGTTATCAGGTCCCRCATCCCTGTTTCATCCCGGGGCTCCGCTGGGATTCCTGGTGGGCTCCTCAAGCCCCTAAAATGCCGTTTTCCTCGGAGTGTCTCCGCTTCATTTTTAGGCATTTCCCTTTCTCCCAAGGCTCCTTTTTATAGCCTTGACTCGGCAGCCCACACAAACACCCTGCTCCAAAAGGCTTAAAAGAGCCACTTTCCCTTGTTTTATTGTTATTTATGGCTCCGTTTGCTCTGTGCAAAGTCGTAAACCGAGCGGCCCGGCCTGCTGCCCCGTGCCGGGGGGCTCGGCACGTCGCAGCTGGGAACGTTTCCCCTCCGCTTCCCTGCGGGAATAACCAGGCTGGGCCGCGCTCTGGGCTCTGCAAACGCCTCTCACGTGTTCCCCAGACCCCAGTTAAACCGAACCCCACGACGTCTCTCCGAGCATGAAAAAATGCATTTATAAGACGCTGCAAGRGACATGTTTTCCATAACTCCGTGCATGACTCGTGTCACGCGGAGAAAGAACCAAAGGGGAGCATTTCGTGTTATTCCATATCACGGATGGGATTTTATCTCTCACGGCAGATCCAGGCCCTTTTTAGTTGCAGTTATTGTTTTATTTTATGGGCCATTTGCTATTTGTTTTTATTTCTATTCATTACTCGTTGAGTGCACTTAGTCCCTTCCCCAAGGAGCTCGCCTTATATCTAAGGTGATTTTTACGGCCCGCGTTAGCCCAGCGCCCGCACGACTCGCACAGCTCCCATATATCAACCCCCCCCGGCAGCATATGGAGGCCACGCTGTTATTCCTACCGTGGAGCTCCCTGTAATACCAGGTGTTCCACTGCTGGGTTAAAGAAAACCCCAAACTCTTGATGTTTTCCTTCTCTCTGGTGTTCCCTTGGAGCCGTGGGGATGTATCCAGGGATTCCTTCCCTCTTTTTGCGCTCCTCGTGCCGCAGGGAGCGCGGGCTGGCAGCGAGCGAGCCAAGCCGGGCGCAGCGCCGGCCTCCGCCAGCTGCGGCCTCCAAATCCGCGTCCGGCCCCGCGGGACGAGGGATCGGATCAGGAGCTGGCAGCGCTGCCCTCGGCGCGGGCGAGAGGCCACAGGGCTGGGGGGAAGCGGCGCCCCGAGTGGGCAGGGATACCCGGAGTGATACCCGAGTATCCGGGTATCCGGAGCGGGCAGGGATACCCGGAGTGATACCCGGGTATCCAGAGCGGGCAGGGATACCYGGAGTGATACCTGGGTATCCGGAGAGGGCAGGGTTACCCAGAGTGATACCCAGGTATCCGAGTATCCAGAGCGGGCAGGGATGCCTGGAGTGGACAAGGATGTCTGGCCTGGTGTGAGCTCCTCTGCACGGGCGCTCCGATGTGTCCAGCCCATGGTGTGGACGGCATTGGCCCTGTGACGTCCCTCTCTCCCGGAGAGTGTCCGTCTGGCATGTCCCTGGCTGCGGGACACGGTGCCGGGAATCCGCACCAGGCAGGCCGGCATTCCCAGGAGCTGTGCTGGTGAGGCCGCATTGCCAGGAGCTGTACTGAGGAGGCCATTCCCAGGAGCCATGCTAGGGAGGCCAGCATTCCCGGGAGCTATGCCAAAGAGGCCAGCATTCCCAGGAGCCATGCTGGAGAGGCCGGCATTGCTGGGAGCTGCATTGGAGAGGCTGGCATTCCCGGGAACCTCACCACCCCGGGGATGCCCAACGCGCCTCCCTTGGCAGCGAGCTGGGAGCGCGGAGCCGCTCCGGTGCCGGCCGCGCATCCGGCGGCAGCTGCGCCCGCCCCGCCAGCGGCCCGGCACTCCGCTCCCGCGTGCCAATGCGGAGAATCACTTGGCTTCGTTAGCACCCCCTCCTCGCAGCGGCTCCCTCGAGCCCGCCTGGAATGTGCGTGGTAGGGACAGAACCAATCCCATTAGCACCACCAGATTGGTTTTCATTGGGCTCAGGGCACCGCCGCGCTCCGGTGCCGCTCCGAGGCTCCTCCGCAGGCTCCATCCCGGGGCCACCCGGCGCCCTCCCATGTCCTGGCACCAGGAGAGCCCTGTGCCCCCTGTCTGGCCCCCTTGGGCAAGCGGCTGTCACCTCCCTGGCCGCAATTCCTTGGTGCCCTGGGGATGCCCACGGGGCTGCCGAGCGCTCCAGGCCCGGCCGCTCCGGCACCGGCGCACGAGCGGCCCCGGCCGCGCCGCCTCGCGCACCTCCTTGTTTGGATGCGGCTCGCGCCGGCGTCCCGCTGCGGCCAGCGGGAAAGCGGGGCCACCGCTCCCCCCGGCCGGCCCCGGCTCCCCCCGGCCGGCCCCGGCACCCCCCGGCGGCTCCGCGGCCGCTCCGGCGGCAGGCGCCGCGCCAGGGCACGCGCGCGCCGCGGGGGAAGGTGCCACCTTTGCGAGCGCGCACGCGTGGCACACACATGTGTTGGCGTGCACGGGCCTCCCCCCGTGGAGGCTCGGCCTCCTCCTGAGCCTCGCGGAGCTCCCCCGCCGGCCCCAAGCTGGGCTTGGCCTCGCTTTGCGGAGCAGCCCGTGCCGGGGAGCCGGGCGGGTTTTGTTGGCTCCCTTCCCGCTCCGGCTCGCAAAGCCCGGATCGGAACCGCGAGCACGGACCGAAGGAGCCTCGGATGCTGCCGGGACGGGTACAAACCTTTATTCCTCCTCCTCCTCTTGTGTTGCTGGGGCTGGGCCAGGTCTTTTTCACCAAACCAGTGGCGTTTTGACCCAAAACACAGCTCTGCAGCCACTGCCAGGCTCCATCCCATGGACACCAATGCTCCGATGTGAGCGGAGCCCCAAAATGCCACGGTGGGAAGGGGACCCCCCACCCTGTCCCCAGCYCCCTTGCATGTGTGACAGTGACACCGAGCAGCGCGGAAGCGCCGGGGCCAGCGCGTGGAACGAGTGGGGACACCAAAGGATGGGGCCTCAGGGGGACGAGTCACCTGCACAGGGGCCACCGGGGCGACTCGGAGCACACAGGGACGCGGGGACGGAGAGGGCGGTGGGCAGACCGGTCCCCAACAGGGTGGCACTGGGTGTCCTCGGCACCCAGGGTGGGAGCGCAGGCCGGAGGGGACCCGGTGCTTCCCGCCTCCAAATGGGACATGGCTGCATCCCAGGGGCTGCCTCGTCGCCTTGGGGACATGGGGCCGGCCCGCGGGAGACCCCGATGGCATCACCTGGATGCAGGTGTCCCCAAGGGCCAGGGCTGGTGCCGAGGAGGCTGCGGAGCCGGGAGGGGCCGGAGCTTCCCGGGAAGGGGCCGGCTGGAGGCAGCGCTGGGCACGGCGGGAGCCAGGGCCGCTGCTCCCTGCGGCTGCCGCCGCCAAATCCATTCGCCACGTCCCGGCTCCGGAATTCCCAGCGCCGGAGCCTGCAGGGCGGCCGGCCGGGCTCCCGCTCCCGCTGCGGCCCCGCCGGCGCCTCGGCGCGGTGCCGCTGCACCCGGGGGTGCCGCTAGAGCAGCGTCTTGTCCGGGCGGAGCGGGGGGCCGCCGTGCGCGGGGGCCGCGGGGTGCAGCGTGACGGCCAGCACGGGCGGCACCGCGGCCCCCGACGGCCCCTCCTTGGTGCCCRGCGGCTGCAAGAGAGGCCGGGGGGGACAGTGCGGCGGGGGCACCGCATCGGGACCCCCCCGGGGCACTTGTGTCCCCACCAGGCGCCTGGTCCCCATCGGTACCTGTGTGCGGACGCGGTGCTCGGGGGCGGTGACGAGGCTGGCGCAGCTCAGCCACAGCATGGCCGCGACGGAGAGGAGGAGGCCGGYGGCCAGGATCCAGCGAGGAAGGCCCGAGCGCCTGCCAGCCGCCCCGCCGGGGCCACGGGCAGAGCTGGGCAGCAGCACCGGCCACGCGGGGCACCCGGGGATGGCAGGAGCCCCCGCAGGCGCCCGGCCGCCCCGTCCCGCCGGCTGCGCCTACCTGGACATGCAGCCGAGGAGGTCGTGCCCGGGCGGCGGGGGCTCCGCGCGGCCCCCCGGCTCCGGCGCCTCTGGGACCCTCTGCCCGGAGCCTGGGGYGGGAGGTGGCTCTGAGCCCGGGTGCCACCCGGGTCCCCGGCGGTGCCACCCGCTCCGGCCCTGTCCCCGACCCCTCCATCACGCACCGGGGCCCGGCCGCGGCCGCTCCGTTCGCTCCGGCACAGGGGACTCCAGCTCCGGCTGTGACTGGCACCAAGTGAGGAGGAGGATGAGGAGGAGGAGGAAGGATGGCTGTGAGGCTTTGTCCCACCGGCAAAGCAGGGGCAGCCGGCCCAGCTGCTCCAGCACCGGGATGCTCCGGAGCCGCAGCCCTACCTGGAAAACCACCACTTTGCCGTCATCCGCCTGCAGGGAGAAGGTCCATGTGGAGGAGATGAAGCTCTGGGCAGAGCTGACGATGCCGGAGCACAAGGTGGAGAGCAGGTCGAGCACGGAGAGCGGCGCCGGCGCCGGCTCCCGGCCCTGCAAGGTGCCGGGCTCAGCGGTGTCCCCGCCGCGCACCCCGTCCCCGTCCCCGTCCCCGTCCCTGTCCCCATCCCGGCGGATGCCCCACGCGGCCGGTGACGCCGCGGGCTCCGCTCCGCTGGCAGCGGCCCCGTGTCCCAGATTCTTGGCCGTGGCAGTGAGTTGTTATTTTTAAAGCCTCCCCGCTGGAATCCGCTTGGCCGCTGCCTGCCGCTGGCTCCTCTCGCACGGGCAGGCCGGCAAACAGGAAATAAATCGGTTGGATTCTGCCCTGGGAACCCGGCGAGGAGGCCGAGCGGAGGCCGAGGGGGCGCAGGGGGAGTCACGGAGGCTCCAGGGCCGCCGGATGCTCCAATGGAATGCGGTTTCTGCTCCAATGGGATGCGGTGGCCACTCCAAAGGGATGCAGTGGCCGCTCCAAAGGGATGCGGTGGCTATTCCGAYGGGATGTGGCGGCCACCAGTGAGCGGGAGCACTCGGGATGTGGGGCCTACAAGGGGTTTTGCCAGGACCACCCCCCACTTCTTCCCAGTCTGAAACCTCCCCCGGCCACAAAGGGCCAAACGGCCCCACCTTGGGCCAGAGCCTAATTTAATTAACTGGGCAAAACCCGAGTTAATTAAACGTAGGCGGGAGGCGTTGCTAATGGCTGGAGTGGAGAACAGACCCAAACAGGGGGTCTGCGAGGCCAAACCTTTCCYGGGGACTACGGTCCCCTCCGTAACCAGCACTGGGGGATCCCGGGGGTCCCGCGGGTGACCCGGGGGGAACCTGGGGGTCCCACCTGCTCCGGGCCGCTCTCCGCCGGGAGCTGCTGCCGGCGGCAGCCGCTGGCGCAGCCGCGCTGCTCCTCAGCTCCGCCGTAGGCTTCGGCACAGGCTGCGGCGGGAGGCGGCGGCGTGAGCGGCTCCTCGGAGCCGGCTCCGGAGCGGAGCGGGCGCCGGGAACGGCGGAGCCGCCGGCGCGTTACCTGCTTCGCACTGGGCTCTGGTGGCGTCGAGCCCGGCGCCGGCGTCCACGAAGTGACAGATGGAGAACAGCCGGCAGCCCCGGTAACAGGCGTTGAGAACAGCGTCCTGGCGGCGGGAGGAGGAGGAGGAGGAGGGCYCGGCGCTGGCGCGAAGCAGGGCCTGGGCACGGAGCCGGCGCGCGGGTCCCCGCCAGGCCCGTCCCCAAGGAGGCCGGTGGCGCCGGGGCCCGGCGGGGTTCGCCCCGGCCACCGCGTCACCCGCGGCCCCGTCCGGCCGCGCGGCCACCGGGGCGGCACCGGGGGCACCGCGGGGCGGCTGCTGCCCCCAGGACACCCCGAAACGGGGGCAGCTGCTGCCGCCCCCCCGGGGCAGAACCGGAGTGGGAGCGGGGATCTTTGCGGGGGGGCTGCCCGGCCGCGGCTGCTCCGGGGCCGCCGCGACCCGCGATGCTGGCGGCCCCCCCGCGGTGCCGCCGATGCCCCCGGTGCCCCCCCACCGGTATCGCGCACCCCCTCCCGTGCCCGCGCACCCCCCCCCGCCGGTGCCGCCCGCCGCTGCCCGCGCCCCTC